TCGTGTTTTGCATCCGAAATCAACGATGTATCGGAAATCATTTGTTACTTCTACTCCGCATGCAGCTCTCGTTGCTCTCTCACCCAATTTATTTACTGGATTAACATGTAGGAAGAATATCAATCACACCAACTGCAATTAGCTTCCCATTAAACAAATACTGTTGCTGAAAAGAACCAATGCAGGTCCGCTTCTCTGTCTGATAAGGTGTGCTTCTCGTCCAGAAGGTGGAATTCGTTTCTCCTTCTCGTTCTTCCTTTCTGAACTGCTTAACATCACACTTTCTGTTTGCTTAAATGGTTTACAGGTACTGTTCCCTCCTATGAGTCATTTGACTTGTTTACAGGTACAGTTCCCTCCTCAGTTTCACATCTTTTAGTTTTCTCCGTTCTGAAAAAATCGACTGTCAATCTATCAAATGGAATTGCACTTTCTGATTGTTGGGATTATTTTGGAATAATTTTATTGATTGTGGATCATACGTTCTGATTGTTGGGTCTTTTTGGAATCTGTTAGATTAAAAAGTTTACTTGAATTTTTCAAAGAATTGTCATCTATAGTTGTAAATTACTCCATCTATTCTTTATAGATAAGAACTATGTGATTCTTCATTGATTATTAACTTTTTGAGCTAAGAGGGTGTTGAGTTCTTTTCATTTGGGGTTTATGCAGCGATTTTGATGGCATATTCCTGGATTATTCAGGGCAATGTGCCACTCTTGATTTCTTCTTGAGGTAGGTTGCTTTTTTTTCTCTTGATTGAGGATATTATAGTAATATCATCATTGTATAAAATACAAATCAACGAAATTATGAGCTTGAGCCTCAAAAGACAAAAAATATAAGTGTAGTATTTTCTGATCACCTCCTTTTTCCTAATGTAGGCAACACACAACACCATCAGTCCCTCGTGCATCTTTCATTAAGTTTACGTTTATTAATTGTTTTTTAATTCCTAGTCTGGTTGTATACAACTTTATGTGTTGTAATTCATTTGGTTCATAATGGATGGTGGTGTTTTATTTTGAATTCGGATTTTAATGAGTGAGAAACTTAATGTGATTAAGATCAGCAAAAACTTAATGTGATTGAACTTAAATGGGCCTAAAAAGCCCAAACCGTGAAACCAAACCAGAGCCAAACCGTTAGTAACGGTTTGGTTTTGTTTGGTTTTAATTTTTGAACGGTTCGGCTTCGGTTTTTGCTTGACAAAAACCGTAACTAATGGTTTGGCTTCGGTTTAACCTGAAAACCGAAAAAACCGGACCGTGAACACCCCTAGTTAGCACAATCAAAATTATGACGCTCAGAGAGTCATCGGTTTCAAATATGGAGAAGACTAGGAGCTATGATGGGGAAAAATGTTACTTCTTTCTACTTGCATTAGCATTACATATTACAGGAATCGATGGAGAAAAACGGGATGTAGATTACCTTCAACGTATGTAAAAAACCTATTTCGTTCTCTTGTCTGTAAAAAAACCCTATTTCCTGTCTCTCGTTTTCACCTGCTCCAACGCATTACTGAAAGAGAAGGCATTTCATTTTACCGTGTCATACCACTTTAAGCAAACAAACACTCCCGTCACCTGATTACCCTAACTTAGCCAGTAATTAAGAATTTAAGACTTAATTGAATAAAGACTAAATGTTTTATATAGAATAATAAAAAAAAATTGGAAATTTTAAAAATGTTTTATTTTTACATCCTAATATTTTGAGCCGGTTTACGAAAGTCTCAAATCAACTTTATTTTACAAAAATGTCCTAAAAACCCATAATTAATTTCAATTTACAAAAATATCCTAAAAATCGGTAAAATGTTGTTTTCCAACCCTTTTCTCCTGATTGGTAAACATTAACAACAATTTGGGTTTTAAAGTATCTCAAGAAAAAAAGGTCTCAGACCCTAAGATTGAGAGAGGTTTAGACAGGACTATAAATATAAGTAACCCCATAACAATATACGTAAGTATCACAGACATGTGGTGTTTTTGTAGAGCTGGCAAAAATCGACCCAACCCGCCAACCCAACCCGAACCCAACCCAAAATTAGCGGGTTGGGTTGAGATATTCAACTCATTTAACTTAAATGGGTCAACCCGTCTAACCCATTTAACTTTAATATATATATATATATATATATATATATATATATATATATATATATATATATATAGGGATGAGCAACGGAAGCGGGTACCTGCTTTCGGAACCGGAACCGCCTCGGAACTGCCGGTTTTGGAACTGGAACCGCCATAGGCGGTTCCGGTTCCGGTTCCTAAAGTCTAGGAACCGCCTTAAGCGGTTCCGGTTCCAATACTTATTTTTACAAAACCGATACCCGCTGGATTCCCGCCGGTTTCGGTTCCAATACCGGGTACCCGGAACCGGCAGTTAACCGGAACCGGTACCGATGGGTACCCGCCTTTTTCTAAAAATAACTATATATTAAAATTTTATATTTTAGTAATTTTGTTTTAAAAAAATAGGGAAAAAAACTTATACTGATTACCTTAGACCTAATTCGTTTTAGGGTTTTTGATTTTCATTCCTAAAAAAAACGTCGTCTTCTTCTCGTCACTCTCCTCTCTCCCCTCTCAAACCAGTCATCATTCAGTTAATCGAAGCTTCAATCGCTCCGGTCATCGTTCGAGCTATCTTATGAACCCTTACTGAAATCCTAAAACTCGGATCTACTCTGAGATAGGGGACGAAGAGGTTATGGGCTCATCAAGCCCTGTTCTGTCTGATCACAAGCGGAAACTCAGTTCTTCTCCATCTTCATCCTTCTTCCTTCGACTTTGAGTAGTCAAGGTGAGCTTGCTTAATTTATGGTTACTTACTTCCCATGATCTGTGAATCACCCATCTTGCATTCAACCCACTTCGTCTCTTATTGATTTGCACATCATCTTTCGCAATTTAAGTTTGGATTTTGTCTTACTTCAACCATAATAAGATCTATTCTTTTTTGCTTCAAGATCGTTTATTTTGCTCCGTCAGATATCAGATGCAGAAATTGACGAATCCACAGCGTGTATGTTGTCTTTTTCAAAGCAAAGATCAATGTCTTGCTTCCTTTTGGACCTCTAGCAATATTGATGCACTACATCACAGGCCGACATGTAAGATTCTTCTCTCATCTCTTTTTAAGCTTCTTCTCCATGACTCTAAAACCGAAGAATTTGGTCTTAATGTACTTCAATACCAAAAACTTGCATTATCACAAAGAGAATGAGCACAAACCCTGCATTATCTCAAAGTGTGACATTCTACATAACAATGGTCAAACATGCTTCAATTTTAATAGAATTTTTCCCTTTTAAACAGAGTTATTTGGTTTCATTGTACCTTAGGTCAGTATTGGACTAAAAGAAAGTTGAAGAGAAGAATGTATATGGAGTAGAAGTTGTTGTTGTTGTTTTTGGGTTGGTATTTGCTCGTGGAGATTTCCTCCTTTCTGGAAGGTTGTAAATTTAATTGGATTCTATATATTTATAATTACTTTCCTTCTGTAATCCATATATATGCATTTTGCTTTCCAGTGTCGGTCCGAACAAGGATGCTATTGTAGCAAAGAACACATTGTCACCAGAAGAGAAAGAAAAACTCCAGGTAAAGTTCATATATATATATATATATATATATATATATATATATTGTATTTTTTTCTCATTAGTGCAGATAGGAGTGTATTGCTCATTTAATCAACTTCTAGAATATGGATTTTGTCATGCTGATCCACACCCTGGAAACCTACTTCGTACATATGATGGGAAACTAGCATATTTAGGTACTTCAAAATTACTTATTTACCCCATTGGTATAAATAAAAGGTTGTTGTTTTATGTTATATTCTTTTATATGTCACTTGATGTTGTAACTTAGATTTTGGCATGATGGGTGAATTCAAGCAAGAGTTTCGTGATGGGTGAATTCAAGCTTGCCTTCATCTAGTAAATAAGGATTATGTTGCAGTGACAAAAGACTTTGTTACCCTTGGGTACTAATACTATGGACATTTTCTTCTTAGCATTAAATAAGGGCTAAAAAGTTTATGTATGAGTTGTATTTTGATGAAGTATTTCAATTTTCAGGTTGCTTTGCTGCAACTGCTGATTTGTATTTTCAGGTTGTTGTTGCTGTTTTTCGATGTTGTTTTTGCTGTTATGTGTTGCTGATGCTGTTGCTAATTTGTGCTATTGCTGATTTGTGTTGTTGTTTTGTTGTTGCTGTTATTATTGCTGTTTTTGCTATTTTATTGTTGCTGTTTTTGCTTTTATGAATTACAATTTCAGTCTCATGTTGTTATTTTATAGTTTTTGGTTTGTTGTTTGCTCTTGCTATTGTGTTATTTAAAAGTGGGAAATGTTTTTAATAGCTTGTTATTTAAAAGATCATTTTTTTTGTAAATGTTTTGGTTTTATATCTTGTACTTATATTGTTTGTATATTGTTTGTATAGGTTAATTTACATAATTTATGTGACATGTATAAAATAACAAGTTTTAATACTCAAGAAGCCGGGTACCCGGAACCGGTTCTGGCGGTTCCGGTTCCAATACCAAAAACTTAAGAACCGCCGGTTCCGGGAGCGGTTCCGGTTCCAGCTAAAATAGG